ATGTAGGCCTGTTCCAGCCCTCCCCCCACAAAAAATATATATTAGCCTATATTTGAAAAAATGTTTTTAACCCTTTTTTTTATATAAATAATACTTTCACTTCAACACCCAGAGAAACTTTCTCTCTTCCTCCACTAAAATGCAAGTGCATTTAAACACTAAAATGACATTTAAAGGGAAAATACAACATTTGCAAACATCAAAAAATAAAACTATCAAATCATTTTGAAATACCTTGCTGGACTATTAGTGAATGACAGTGTAAAGCATCCTGTAAAATCATGGCACCTGGTATACTGTCATTTTCAAGAAAAGTGGTATTTTTGTATCAATTTCCAACGCTGATCGGCCGATCAGCGTTGGAAAAAAACTGGCTTTTTTTCAAATACTGGCCCCAGTTGACCATCGCACTTGTTTGCAATCGATTACACACCTATGAACGGGTACAAGCCAGCTAGACTGGTTCCCTGATACCTTACAATTCCCCAATATATGTAAACTGCTCTGTTTCTTCTTAAATGGAGTCAGGGAACCAGACTACAGGAAAATGATTGTTTTTCTTGGTTTTTATAGCATTTTCGAACCCAAAACCTCAAAAAAGTCAGTGTAACTATATTTGCTATATATTTCCAACCCCCCAATTCCATCCATTTCTGAAAATTACAGCAAAAGCAAATGATGTATATTCCCTTTAAAAGAATACAAAACCTGGGCATGTTACCTTTTGCATGCGGGACATCAATACGCGTGTCGAAAGAGAGAGGTACTCCTCCATGGTACTACAGACAAAATCTGGGCCAACATTGAATTTCCCAAGAAGAAAATTAGAAAATGTTTCCTCCGAAAATATTTTAAAAGGCAAGTGTCTATGTCCATGGTTGGTCATGACAAATTGTATTGTGTAAGGATCGGACAACTAAACCTAAACTGCACTATCTGAGTACCATCAGCATCTTGCGCAGTGCCTAAATTGAATAAAAGTGACGTTATGTGTCCTTTCTTTCTATATGTAGAGAGAGGGCACTGGTGGCACCCCTCCCTTCCTGCTTGTGACCGCCCTCCCCGCCCCACTTAGAATTCGGAGACTGCGTGTTGCTTGTAACGAGGAAAAAAAACTCAAAGTGAGATACAAAGTAGCCCCCCTTCCCCACCCCTCACCCAATATCGAACCCCATGCATTTCCTGGAGCACTATTTTCAAGTTGATTGCTGAGTTATTTTCGACATCGGCGATTAATTTGCGAACGTGGACGCCGTCTTCAAAACAACGGAACTCGTTTTTGGGCCTTAGTTCATCAGCCGATTTCACGTATCAGTTTCAAACCCCGTTAAATCCAAATTATGAAGGAAAAATACCGAAAACGTTGACGACAATTATACGTAGAGTATAAAATTGGACTTAGGCCTAAAATGGCTCACACTTCACTTTTTTTTGGATAATTGGCGGCAAAATCTCGCGCGTAAACTGGACACCTCTTTTGTCAGAGATGTTGCAATAATTACTGGGAAAAGCGCGGGAAGTGGGAGGGAAGGGATTGGTTGATGAACGACCGCTTCGCTGTCTCGTTAATAATATTGTTGACGCGCCTTCTGTTTTCAGAACAGTAATTCATACGAGCGGGGAACAAACAAAAGCGGCTGATTTCTGCTGGCAGTTTTAGCAGATGCAAATCCCGGGACCCCCCTTCAGTATTGTGTTGGAGCGTAGACGGAGTAAAGGCATGTACACACTGCCCGTGGCCTGCACGTGTTGCGTGTTAGGCCGCGCGCTACAACAGCATGAACAGCAGCCGCGCCACGAGTACGGGTAATTATTGCAGATTATCCGAAGTCTCGCTTTTAACATGTCCCCTTGTTCTCCTTATCGCATTCGCAAATGGCGGGAAAATCATTGTATTTAGAGTAAATAATCCTCATCCTGTGCGCAAAGAACCGCCGTCGTACTAGGCACGTGCACAGTCAGATTTTCGCGCCTTTTCTTCTGGGAGGCGAGTAATCAACACTGCAGCTGTAGGATCTTAAAGCATTGGAAAATTCCAGCACTGATATGTCCGAAATGTGCGAATTCAAAAATAAAAATGAACAATTATCGCCACATATGCGCACCGCACAGTGAAATTTTGTTGTTGGCCTATATATTAGTATAGTTATTGCATGCATTTTATTCCTCTGCTTCTTCTTTCTTATGTACTTTCAGACACAACTGTCTCCGCTTGCCAAACCAAAGAGGAAGGTTGGTTTCATCCATTCTAAAAACACTTTTACTTAAGAGGAGATGCATATCAAAAGTGATTTTAAAATAAACAGTATATTGCAATTTCTAACAATTTCAAAAGCATTTTCGTGGTTTCGAAACACTATAGCAATTAATCGTGCAAAACATCCATTTTGGAGTGCACGCAGCCACAAATTATTGCTCAGTGCTTGTTGATCTTCTAGTAATCATTTACATTAATGCCGCTCTGTCTTATATGTTGAATTTAATGTAATATAATGGGTTGAATTAGCACAGCACTGCATCTGCAAGGGGTGTGTTTTGGGAGAGGTCGGCTTGTTGGCGGCAAAACAACTTGCGTGATATTGGAAGTTCTTTGTTTTATACAGTGCATCAATTGAAGCCGGTCTTGACAATAGGCCAAACCACTGATGACCATCTGCCAAGCTGTAAGCAATATTAATTACCGTGCCCAGCTGTAAAGGATAATGCATCACGCAATGACATGACGTCACGATAAACATAATTGAGATGAACAATACAGTCAGTGAAGTCATTGTACTGTGAGCCACTGCTGTTTTGGCGGGATAATCGAGGAAGTTATAAGATCGCTAGAATCTCCAAATATAATAGCCCTACACGATAAAAATATAATCATCACAGGATTCGTACAACTTAGCATGCGCGTATATGCGCTGATGCAGGCTGGATTTGAGCGGGGCTCTTGGGCACTTCTGATCGGGCAAAAAAACCTTACTAAAATACTAGTCGGGATAATTTTTATTAAATAAACCCATTTATGTGGATTCAAAATTGGTCACGCAAGTTACCGGTGCTTGCTTATATACGATTCTATTGGAATTTGAAAACAGGCCTTTGGCAGGTGCAAACAATTTAATATTACCAATGTAATAATCACATAGGGATATGTGTGAATTGTTTTCATTTTGCTGAAAGAACGCACACCTTTCTTTGTGATCCGTGGACAGAACTTTAAAACGCTGGTTGTGTTTACAATTCCGTAACTTGAAAAAGTACATGAGTGATTTGAATGATTCTTGTACTAAAAGAAAGCTTATGAATTGGGCTTTCATTATATATCCTAGATTTTTTTTAACGTGCTACATGCAGTACTTCACTAAAACAATAGTCCTGACATTTGGGTTTCGTTTTTTTTACTCATCCTGTACTGCCCGAGAATGCTTGCCCTCTTCGTGTCAAGCCAAAAGAAATAATTGCGAGATATCTGTATACATGTATATTGTGGGAGCTGGAGGCGGGGATGTTTACACTACGTTTTTCTCAGCTTTATACATGCAACATTGAAAGTTATACATTTTTGTCAATAGAATCCGACAATTGATACATTTTGCGCGCCTGCCGTAGAGAAACTTGACAACCATTCATCAGAGTCGGAAGTATCTTGTCATTGGCTCTCTGCCAAAGAACAAAGTGGGTCTGGTCGCGAAAACCCCGTGCTTGCCCGGCCGCGCCCGAAGTAGATCGGATCGACCAAGAGAGAGCTAGCTGATGACATGGGCGGGTATCGGACTTTTCAACAAATACGCGACCTTTTTTTTCTTCTTCCGTCCTCGCTCCATCCAGTTGTTTTGTAAAGTACAGTAGTGGCGTGCATCGATTTCTGTGTCGTTTATTTAGAAGTGCGCCCTCTGTGCATATTCGGGCACATGTTAGCTAGCTACTCCGTACCGCGCGTAGCATGCATGCAGTACTTACTTGTACGCCGCGCCGTGAATCATCAGATGATAGGACACTGCTTCATTTTCTTGCATTTACATGGCAGGTTGAGTACATCAGGTTACCTGTTGTCTACAAAGCATCTTTAAAAAAAATACACGATATGGTTGGACACTGTTCTTTGAATATTACCTTTTTTTGTAGGGTTACAGAACAGAATCCAGCATTTATACACGACATACGCTACGGTCCAACATTAGTCCCACTAACTGGGTCGCTAGAACTCCTTTTTTGACATTTGGGATGTTAATCTGTCGTACTACTACTACTAGCTAGTACGACAGACCAACATCCCAAATGTCAAAAACGGAGTTCTAGCGACCCAGTTAGTTTGACTAGTCCAACATTTAATTCATACATCACATATACATGTACACTCCATCAGACCACACTCCCTCATTCGTACAAAAAGGGATTTCTTATTTCTACCATCTACCTTCAAGCATGTTTACCATGTACGTGATCGTGTAAACAGCACAGACAAATCAACCAAAATCGCAACCAAACAAATAAGCAGTGCACGCGGGGTTCCATGGTGATGGTCGGGAGACCCTGGGTTTATGCGGTCAGGCAAGGGGGCTGTGGTTTGGCTACGTGTATTAAATACCCCGTACTATTACTACATGTAGCCTTGTTTTGCACGTGACGTCCAGAGAGTCGTAAATGTTACTAGATTCAGTGGATAGTAGAATATATTTCGAGCATTTCGTTAACATCATGTCACCCACTCAAAATAAACCTGGTCTTTTAATTTCTAAATAGACAAAACGACTTCTCTAACCCATGCTTGTAAACTACCTTCATAATAATAGCCACCGCGGTACGGTACCTGTACGGTATATGATCGCGCTACAACTTTTCGGATGTGTATGGATTTCGCCGTCACTGTTCTTTATTGTTAGCAATGACGTCATGCCATCGCTGAAGTGGGGCAACGATTGCTGATTGGCTGGGTAAGTGTTTCCTGCGCTCTTACACTATTACATTGTAATAACTTTGTTCTAGTTATGGCAAAAACCCGCGCCAACTGTACACATGGCTGAAGTTGGTAGTGCAAAGTTTGTGTGGAAGTTGTTTGGGTTTCTTCTATAAAATTACGTGTGTGTAACCCTCAATTATTATCTAAACATTTCTCAAATTCTTCAGAAACACCACGCTACAGACGGAGATCCTGATTAACGCGAATTCCTTCAGAAGTCACAGCGCAAACCCAAGTTTTCCTGGCCCCGCCACCACTGATTGGCATTGCCACGTGAGTCCGCGTCCGGTGACTGCAGAGCTAGGCCACGCCTCCTACCATTCATTAGTCACTCGCCAATGTATTGCACGCTGTTGCGGGCTTTAGCTAGCTGAGCGAGCTGATCACCCGCACTTCCCTTGCAGAGTTTCAGAGGACTAAAAAGGGACCCGTCTTCGACCAAAACGGTAGTTTCTCTCAAAACACAGCCACAGGAATTAGGATGCGTGACACCATGTCGACAGCCCTTGTATCGGCGAATGTATCGACCTACGAGTATGACTATGTCAGTGATATCCTCTGCAACAATTACAAGGTAAGATACTCGACTAACTTTTTTGTGTGCGGTTTAAAGCCGAAGCAACCTGTTGCTCATGTATCGGTATGCGGGCTCTGATATGATGGAACGCGGCGTTAGTGAATTGCGGCCCGGGGAAGGCATTGTGGAGACTTTGTGGGATCTGTCCGCTGAGTTAATTAAATTAACCTAGGCCTATCGTCATCGTTGTTTGAATGTGTTCTTGGTTTTAGACTAAGTAGAATGTCCATGTTTTTACTTCACAGAACCCACCACCGACGACCCGCACACAACTGAAACTCGACAAGAGAGCAGTGGGAACTCCGATCCACGGGATCCGCAGGCATTCCACGAGTTCTGCAAACATCGTCAACGGGAATGGCATGAACGCTAACACCAATGCTAACGATGCGGGTAAACTACGAGACCGTGCGATGAGCGAAAGCGATCGCAACCAGCGAACCCAAACAAGTCGGTACAAAACGGAGCTGTGCCGGCCTTTTGAGGAAAACGGGACCTGCAAGTATGGGGACAAATGTCAGTTCGCCCACGGCATGCACGAACTGAGAAATCTTTCTCGCCACCCTAAATACAAATCGGAGTTGTGCCGCACTTTCCACACGGTGGGGTTCTGCCCTTATGGACCCCGCTGTCATTTTATTCACAATCCAGAAGAGCGAAAGCTGGGAATGGCCTTTGCAGAGCAACAGGCCAAACATCCCCGTGATCGTACCGTTGAGAGGCCCAAGTTGTTGCACTTTCCCAGTGCTCCAATGGGTACTACATGCGGAGGTGATCTGACACCACCAAGCGACAGCCCAACATCAATGACACCCCCTCCCTCACTGTTTGGTGATGACATTACTCCCAACATGCCCCTGAGTGCCAGTGTCCTACAATCTGCAGTGAATGTTTTCAACTTCACCCAACGTCAGAGGAATCAGCAGGAGTTGCCCAATGTGATGTCACCCATCATGTCACCCACCATCAGTGGGATCAGCAGCCCCTTTGGATCTGGCCCCATGTCCCCATTCACTCCCCTACAGCAGCTGAGCACAGAAAATGAGCAGCAATTGAGCTTCCCGCCGCCTGTGACCCGTCAGGATAGCAGTGTTTTCTTCTCCGATAATCTGAATGACTTCTCCCGTAACACTTTCCGACCACCTTCACCCCCTGACTCTCTCTCTGACCCCGAGTCTCTTGGTGATTCCATGGGTCCAGCTTCTCCTACTCTTGTTCCAAGCCTCCCCACTGTTCCTATCAACCCTCTCGCTAAGGCTCATCCTGGCTCAAGTCCAATGGCAAATCAGCGGGTGGGCCGCCTTCCTATCTTCCGTGGCATGTCTCACGAGGAACGGTTCTAGACAACGCGCAAGCAAGGATGGTCCACCTTGATTAAAAAAAGGGACACCCAACAGCTCACGGACATGACCCCACAGTTTCTATTCCAATGACATGCTTTAAGTGTCTTCCTTTTTTCTATGGTCCGTAATCAAAGGATTTGTATAAAATAGTTTGATTGTATTTTATTATAAGATATTTCTTATTTGAAATTGTTATCTGAATTAACATGACATCTGTTGATATTTCCATACTCCAGGAGTTATAACTATTTATATGAGAAAAAAAAGTAGTCAGTTGGGGCTGTTCATATTTAATTTGTTCTGCACTTAAAACATTCTTAGCCTTAAACTGACCATGCAAGTCAATCTTGCTAAGCCTGGACCTTATGTATTTAATTGTCATTACTTTGTATTTTTGAAATTTGTACTATTCAATGCTGAGCATAGAGAGTGGTTCGCTGTTAGTTGAAACTAAGCCTCTTGCTGAAGTGCAGCCCCTTCCTTCTAAGTATTTAAGTTATCCATCTTATTTATTTGAAAACATTATATGCATTTTTGGTGAATTTATAATGCCCGTATTTATCAGGTTTTATGATGATTAGATATATTATATATTATTATTATTGTGATGTGACACTTGTGTTTTAAATTATGAAAGAAACTTAAAAGATATTTTGTCTTTGATGCCATCTTGGTATGAAGATGCCATCTTGGTATGAAGAGTACTTAAGTCTTGTTTTTGGATACAGTATTTTCTTCCTTCTCTACTTAATTTCTTTGGATTGAGATGAACTTCATGGTCGAGTCTTATTTGTAATCTCATGGTTAATGACATAGTGGAAGTATCACTTTTGTATATACACCTGACGACCAACCAGAACTTCAACAAAAAACAGACAAATTTTAACTTAAAATTCTGTTCACGAAAACAGTGTATGAGAACTTGTGTGCGAGATGGATTTTGTACATAAACTAGTAATCCACTCGGCAGAGTTCAATCACATTTGTTTCATGCAGTTGATTTTTTTTTACGCAGAACTAATTCACCCCTGTTTGTGCAAAAAAGTTTTTTAACCAAAAAAATAGTATAAAAAACCTATAAAAAAAAAAAATTGAAAAAAAAAATGTGTTTTTAAAAAAGATCAAAATGTTTTGTGCCACGTACGGTAAGCAACTCGTGCAAACTTTGACAGTAGATCAACTGTGCAAAAGTATCAGCTCGTTTTTGTACTTGCGTACTTAAAAGTGTTGAACAAAAAATTTATTTACTTATTAACAGGTAGGCTAGTAATTTAAATTTCATATTTTATGCAGCAACGTTTGATGTGTTACTTGAGTCTACCTGTACAAGTTTGTTCATGAAAAGGTTTCATCTAGTTCACTTTTGAGCAATAGTGGTATAAATCTAATGTTTGTTGATGAAGATGAAATTGAAATGATTAACATTTATAATGACATTATAATCTAGATTCGACGCACTTTTGGTCTTAAAATCCAACGGACATTTTAATACTTGTCCTGGTTGAGTCCTATGTACTTCTGAAATCTGTTGATTATTTATTTGTTCTTTTAAAACCAATTATCTCCACTGGGGAAGCACTGTCCAATATTAAAAATTAAAAGAAAATAATCCACAAAAGATTCATTACAACATATAAACATTCCGTGAGCATTTGAAATTTTGTTGTGATATTCAATAAATTTGTATCTCACTGTTCCCTGTTCTTATTATAGCCAACCTTTAAATAGATTTTGTGTTGTATTTATGAAGACTTAAGCTATGCAAAACTTTTTCCATCTTCCTGCACTCATACACTGCCGCACGGCTAGGGCCATGCAATATGTGTAAATGTTAATATTGTACTTAGTTATAAATTTATTTAAAATGAATTTTAAGAGTTGATATTTTTTACGTATCAATTATTACTAAAATTGTCTTGGCGAACACTGTAAGTGCCTTAAACAAGTTTGATGACGCCAAATTTTGCCTGTTAAACCTACACTTTTTACGAAGCATAAATATGACAATTTTCAAGATCATTTTCCTTCAAGTGCCTTGCGGTGAAACATCCCATTGACAGCTTTTTCCAGTGCAACAAACTTTTGTACGACGAGTATTTCATATTTTTATGCTAATCAAGCTTTAAAAAGTTATCAAACATATAACGAGGTCAAAATGACTACTTTTTCTGAAAGTGTTTTCTCTGCACCTTGTTATTTTTTTGGCCCAGTGCAGTGGACACCAGTTTGCTTGGCTGTTCAATGAAATTCACTCAGTCGTTTGTATTTTGTAACGTACATATGTATTTGTGTGTTAAGCATATTGTGTTGAGTATGAGATAAAAAAAACTGTTAAATTCGCTAAGAAAAAAAAGGAAGAAAAAGGATTGAAGTGTCTTTAATTGTGAACGAGTATATGTATGCCGACTTCCCAACAAAACTTTGAAGAAGACCATAGGCCCTTCCTTTTAATTAGCCCCCCCCCCCATGGTTACTTTAATTCCTCTCTTGAAAATATTCACTACAAAATCAATTAAACATGGCCGCGCTGTTGTGATAGCGAAAATGAATAACCATTACTGCTGCCGCTTGTTGCCACATTAATTTTTGTTCACAGCCTAATTATCAAATGAATTTAAGATTTGATGTTTCCATGTGTGAATAATGAACTCGCATGTAACTGCTAGCTACGTGCAGCACCGGTGGTGTGGATTTTTGTATTGAGAAGTTGTTGATGCATGAGGAGGTCAAAGAGCAACACGAATCTTCTTTGACTACCTCAACAGTGTGTGTAACCAGGCTTGTTGTTCAGGCCTCAATATACCCCGCCTACCCCGAAACCTGTCTTACAGATGGTATCTTCAACTGCAGTTTTTAGTTCCGGAGATTGTCCGATCTGGATTCCAACCTGTTCTGAACAACTTGATTGCGCTAAAATACCTCTTATTCAAATTGTACAGAAGGCCCCTGAAAACTCGTGCACACAGTGAGCACAATTTCAACAACTGTTACCCAGGTCCACTTCACTTTATTAATCAAGATGGAACAACTTAAGCTGGGAAATTTATGACCTATGCAATTTCTGAACGGTGTATAGTGCTTTTTTCACAGTAGTTTGGAGGTTATTGTGCGCCCAAGTCTTCGGTTTTTTGAGGTTGAAAAACGGTTGACTGATATTTCATGTACTTCCGCATTGGCAACACTGTTTTGCCATACTGGGAACCACCGTACATGTATGTACAACGAATATCTTCATGGACGCTGTGCAGTGTTTACACTCGGTCTAGTTTTAGTTTCGCAATAGCATGATAGTTTGCACTGGCAGGGATCTGCATCGCATTTTAAAGGGGCTCTGCGTTTATTTGGAAATTATGCATGTCACACTCACGGGGACCTACTTGAAATCACCCAGATCACACCGTCAAGGGGGGTGGCGGTTATCCATCAAACCCCCTCCCCCTTCGCGGCCCCTCCCCAATCTCACCTTGAAGTTGAAACAACTTGTTGCCACTTGCTTCCCTTACTTTAACTTTAACTCAAACTTTGACCAATGATTATTAGCATAATTTTCAGATTATTGTTTTTAACGTCCCAGTGCCGGACAAGATATCCGCGTATTATGTCATACAAGCAGGTGGTTGATTTCTTCGTGTTCTCACGAAAGCTGGCTAATTAATTAACTGATGTTTGTCAAATGATTATTGGTACTTAATGATTATCTAGTTGACTGCTTTCTCCGTATATTATGGCCGGGTTGATATAATTAGAGTACACTACATGTAAATGAAAACCACTGAGAACCCATCGGTCGAGTTGAAGAATTTTCATATTAATTGAATGCAAAATACGGGTTCTGTCGTGAATTATGAACAACCTTTTCGTCAGAATTGGTACTGCTAAATATTTTGAAAGTGCTTCTACATGTATCTAGAACTTTGAACTTATAGATGCGGTTAGGCTTCACGCAGCATCACTCAGCCATAGCAAACTTTAGCAAACGTCCATGGCAAATGATCCGAACTCGTTCAGCAGGGCTGCATTGCTGGTCTTTTTGCAACACATGAATTTCACTTTTATGGGGCAAAGTTTAGGTTTATTTTTATTGGGAAATCCTAAATATAATACAAAGTGAAACCAAAATCAGATGAATGTGGTTAAAATGAATCGGTCCGTTGTTCTGGATTGGAAAGTCTTGCTCAGAGAGCTGAAAATCGTACTTGGATCGGTTACACCCTTGAGACAGTATAGGTATGCTAGAGTCAAGTGGTTCAAGGGTTAAAGGTCAATTCCAACCAGAGGCATTTTCACTTTTTAAGGTTTCCATATCGATTGAGGAATGGAGTGTCATTGATGGAATTGGAAAATCAAAATGGAAGACCGAGAAGGGTATTACAGCGACAAAAGGCATGATTTTTTTTTACGGCGAAGGGGGAATTATTATGCAAGCTCTTCACAACACGATGGAACATTTTCTGCAGAGAGCGCGGTAATAGTACTTTTTTTTCCAAGAAGACTTTTTTTCAAACTGTTGTGGTAAGGATTAAAAGGACTGTTTCATTAATGATATTGTGTACTTAAATAAGTGGGAAGGAAAAAATGCTGATCTACATTCTTTTTTTTTTCTTAAACACGTGCTTTTTTCAACCTCAAGTTATCTGGCTCTGAGGAAGCACATGTCTTCCGGCCTCCAAGCTAACTCAGCCCCCGTGTTTCCTCAGCGTCATATCCACCCGGCTAGCACTAGGAAAAATTACGCACCCACTGCAAAAACCTACGACAGTCAAGAAAAGAAGAAAAACAGATGGCGCTACACCGGGGACCATCCAAACAGTTTGTAAAATATCGACAAGAAATTCTCCGAATGACGATAATCTGACTTCTTTGATTTCGTCTCCATTCTGCAGGGATTCTTACCCAAATTTGCAGGTGAAATCACGTCATCTTTGATTAAGCACAATCATGTGCATATTGTGCACGACCTGACCCGAAACGTGTTATGCCGAAAGTTATGCAAGAGGTAATTTCTCCGAAAGATGACATGCAAGAAGTCAACTTGAAGCTATCAGATGATGATGTATCGAGTTACCGTCAAATAGTCTCAGGAATTAAGCATCTCGGATAGTGCGTTGAGGTTTGAATTGAATTTTTAGAATAAATCATATACATGTTGTTGCGAGGGCATTCTAAATGTATAAGCCAATGAGCCATGGCTGGAGCAGTCAATCCTTGAATAAAACTGACGTGGAAAAAATTATATGGATAGACTGAACATTATTTCGATTTACTGTTGAACTTGGAGGCGTCATGCAGTCTCACATGCAGGGTATCCTATCGTGTGTCAGTCTCTGACGAGTTTCCCTTTTTCCTGCACCCCATTCGTCATGCGTGTGGGTGGATTGGGAATTCCAGCCGCGTTAAACCCGATTCCCGCTGTCATGTGACTAGAAAACAGGTGTTTCCTTGTCAACTGTCATACCCATTTATGAGTTGGATTGTTTTATATTGGCGGATGATGTTCCTTAACTGGATGTCATGGGCCGGCGACATGGCACCCCGTGGTGTTGTTTTGAGCGTCGGGAGCGTAGGGACAGCATACAGCAAAATTGGAGGGAAGATATTAGTGTTGTGCACGAATGTGCAAAACTTTCCAAAAACGGCTCTTTATGGCCTGTTAATTCAGAACCATTGGATCTCAATAAACCATAATCCATACGTACATAAGGTAACGACATAATGGTGCAAGTATGCACTCAGTGTCCATAATAAGAGAGAAGACAAAATGGATCTGTTCGCTCCTTGCAAGACCAAAATGTTGGCACTAAAAGTGTACAACAAGCCCGTTGAGGGACGATGAAAGTCTAGTACAGAATGTGAGATGATTTTTTGGAAATCAACCAAGGCTAGAATTCGCCATATTTGTGGATTCCCGGATGCTAACTTCTTTTTTCCCCTCGCATCTGAGCTGCCTGCAGTATAAACTATCATGCGGTAGACATGGGACATTATTTTTTTGACCTCAAGTAGTGTCACCTGTCAGAAACAGAGACTGTGTTGATGTTATAATAACAATAGCCACTGGCCATATAGTTCGAGTCTGAACACTAAACAGGAACTATCTAATTAACCCGTATAAATTAACACCCACTGTGTCCTGCGATTATTACACAGTTGCGGTCACACCATTCTTGCTACAGGTAGACTCAAACATAATCGAATTACGCAATGTGGACAATGGTCATACAAGTGCGACCATGCATGCATGCTATATGATGAAGGAACTTGCAATGTGCCAGCGAAATGATCACGATAATTAGTATTTTACTGATTTTATTGAATTAAAATCTCTATTTGAAGGCAGCCGGTTCAGTATAATAAAGTTTACTTTTGAAATTGTGTGCTAAACTAATGATGTGAATATCTTTGTTCCCATTCAACGGTATGGATCGACTGCAGGTAACGCGACCACCACAAAATGAATTCTGAAATAAAAATGCTGCTTCGATTTCTACCGTTCTGTATGTGTTAAGATTTATCTCCACCCACGCTGCGTCAGCGACTGTGTTTTTATTCCCTCTGCGCACTTAATAATGAATGATGGCTCGGCATGTTTATTATTTCAGGCCAAATATGGCGGCAACAACATATACAAAATGATACGCGTGTTCATTAACATCTATAAATCATGCTGTCAAAACAGTGTATGCTCGACATTTGGAAAGCTGGTACCCGCGCCGAAGCAAACGTTGGACCAAAAACAAAACCCAGATAAAAGTCAGTGGTTGTTTGCGACGTATTATGTGTGCTTAGATTGGATTGCCCTTGTGTAAATCAAGCATGCGCAGAAAACACCAAACCAGACTTAGAGAAGTAACTAATCAATGCAACCCTAAACTTTGTGTTTGTCCTTTTTAATTTATTTCCCTATATCTTTGGGTACATGATTTCACTCCAAACATTCCTCAAGACAAGTCATCTTTTCAAATAGAGAGGAGAACCATCTGTTGCGTGGTTTACTGCATTTTCTTATCGTCATGTCACTCAACGGTGCACCAGACGGCGAAGTCCTCCAGATGGGGCTAGGGTCCCACGCAATGCTCCCAAAAGGTCGCTATCTCTCAAGCACATCGGGGCTTGGAGAATTCGATTTCCATTAGTCTAGCGCACATGGCGGGTCTGCCTACAGCTGATAATCCTAGAAAGTTTACGACACTGCAGTTTTATCGTCCGAACACACTGTGGGAAAGTAAAGCCCACAGGCCACTGGTTTGTATTTTCCACAACTCGAGGAATGTAAGAAATGTTTGGCCGTTGAAAAGGCTTTCTCAGGTTCGTTGCGCGATGTATATAAGATACCACTTGTTGGCTTAGAGTTTTGGGT